CTTTAGATGCCTTGTTTAACAAAAGAAATGTAAAGAATATCACTATATATTATATATCACCAATTATGCTGTTACTGGCTCGCACCTTGGTTTTTGGCCCGTGTTTCAATCAATGGCCTACTACTAGGCATCGGGTTCAATAAGTTAGTAGATCAATTCCAGACTCTCTTCCCCTAAGGTTCTGTCGATTCCTCCAACCCCTCCCTAGGAGATGGGACCGTTCCAGCAGCCTCTTCTGTTTGGGTACCTATCGACATCCCCTCCCTTTCCATCCCCCCAGGCCCCCTCCATTCATCCAAAAAGTCACCTACCGCAAGCAAAGGGTACGACTCGAAAAGGATATTTTTTAATTAAAAAAAAAGTGAGACCAACCTAAAGGGCGGAACCCCCAAATACATACTCTCTATCAAGGGCAGAGTTTGTGAGTCATCAACAAAATAAACCCAAAATATCAAGAAATAGAAGCAAACAGTAGCCACTGCCCACAACCCACCCTTTACCTCCACTCGCATAATCTTTCTCTCCTACAGATTGTCGACAATCCTCACCCAAGTCGAAATCGGTGACACGCCATCATCAGCCAATACCCACACATCCTCGTTCGCTTTTCAAACTCTACCCGCATCAGACTGATATCATCTCGTACCCTCACCTCAACCTCAACATGGACGGAAAGCGACACCCCAGCTCGTTCCAGCAGCTAGAGAAGCTCGGTGAAGGCACCTATGCCACCGTCTTCAAGGGCCGCAACAGACAGACTGGAGAGCTTGTGGCGCTCAAGGAAATCCACCTCGACTCCGAAGAGGGAACACCGTCGACTGCCATCCGAGAGATTTCGTTGATGAAGGAGCTCAAGCACGAGAATATTGTTGGGCTGCACGATGTTATACACACCGAGAACAAACTCATGCTCGTCTTTGAGTACATGGACGGCGATCTAAAGAGGTACATGGACACTCATGGTGATCGCGGCGCCCTCAAGCCTACCACCATCAAGTCCTTCATGTACCAGCTCCTCAAGGGCATCGACTTCTGTCACCAAAATCGTGTTCTTCACCGCGATCTCAAGCCCCAGAACTTGCTCATCAACAGCAAGGGCGTTTTGAAGCTCGGCGATTTCGGCCTTGCCCGCGCCTTTGGTATCCCCGTCAACACCTTCTCCAACGAGGTCGTCACCCTATGGTACCGCGCCCCCGACGTCCTCCTCGGCAGCCGAACATACAACACCAGTATCGACATCTGGTCCGCGGGCTGCATCATGGCCGAGATGTTTACCGGTCGACCTCTGTTCCCCGGAACCACAAACGAAGACCAGATCATCCGCATTTTCCGCATAATGGGAACACCAACAGAGCGTACCTGGCCCGGTATCACGCAGTTCCCCGAGTACAAGCCTACATTCCATATGTACGCCACTCAAGATCTTCGAAACATCCTCCCGGCGATTGACCCCAACGGTATCGACCTGCTGCAGCGAATGCTACAGCTTCGACCAGAGCTGAGGATCAGTGCCCATGATGCCCTTCAGCACGTTTGGTTCAACGACCTTATGATGCACCCTCAGCAGCAGGCTCTCCAGGCGCAGGCTCGCGGATACCCCCAGGCTGTTCCCACTCAAGGTTTCGAGGCGTATTAGAACTTGCCCCAGCCGCCAGTGGCGAGAGACCGAAATTTCTAGTTTTGCTGCGTCATGATCACAGCGTTTTTGAATCGAGCTGTTTCAGTAACAGCGTCTCACTGCAAACCAAAAGAAGAAAACACAGTAATATTACGTGGCGACTATTTCTCAGCACGATGGAGTTAAGGGTCAGCATGAATTAGACAGGACAGGAGAGATATTTGATCTTGGGACAGCAGCGTATGTCGGTGTCTTGATTCGTCATTTTTTTCTTCTCTCTTTTCATTCCTGTCAACAACTGATGTTGAGTATGAGTGAGTACCTCAGGTGTCAGGGGGGTTGGAGGGGTTGACCCTCCTGGTTTTAGTCTATAATCCTACGAGCGAAATGTATGACTTTAATACTCATGGGTGTTCTTTTGGCCCGTGTCTGTTGACAAGACTGCCATCGACTGGGCTCTTAAATTTTGTGCGGAGAGGATCTTTGGCCCATGTTTCCGCGAGAGCTGGTGTTTCGTCCTTTTCCGCAGGGAAGCCTGCGCGTTCTCTCAGTTTCTCGACCTCATCTCTTACTCTCCTGGCCACTGATATTCTTAACTCCGTAGCCTCTGGGCTATTTCGGAGTAGTTCTGGGTCACCTTTGGCAACAAGCTTGCGCCATGCTGCCCGCTGCAGACCGAAGAGCTGATCAACGTCGGTCGGCTCGCCTATCACTATTTTGACCGTCTTTCCAACACGAGGCGCCCATCTGGGCCATCCTCTATCCTCGGCCATAATGTGCTGGGTACCATGGACGAACATGGGGATGAACTCTGGAGCCGGGTCAGATTCGAGGATCAGGCGAGATACACCCCATTTGAAGTAGCGCAATCCGCTTTCCGGACTTTGGTGACAACAAGCTTCTGGAAATACGTGAACCCAGGCATTTCGATAGGCTGAGTAGGCAGACGGTGCTGTAAATCGATCGACACCGTTTGTGGAGAAGAAGAGTGGTTGGGGAACCGGTGGAGGTCTTGTCGAAGCAGGGGTTGCAGAGAGAGGAGAGTCAGAGGCTGTAGACCATGAAGCTGGTGATGGGCCCGACAGCAGCTTGATGGCTTGTGTCATGGTTGGCTGGTATAGACCACCATAGGGAGAGTACCATAATCTGTGAGTGGGCAAAACCTGACCAAGACTGAAGAATGTCGAAGTGGCTCTGTGATTTATTTGAGTCGTCAGCCAATGCTCGCTCACTCACTCACACACACACACACACACACTCTCTCTCTCTCTCTCTCTCTCTCTCTCTCTCTCATTTATTGATCTTCAAGACTCACTTATTCTTGAAACATATGTCATGCGCCCCAAGACCCCATCTCATGTTGACTGCGTCAAAGAAGTACCGCATTGGTAGCATGCCCCAAATAAGAGGATCGTCAAGTCTGTATGCATTATATACTGTTAGCATGGGCCGTACGTAGTGTTGGATTGCCATGACATGACATACACTGCTACATGATTGCACACTGTGAGCAGCCCGCGCTCACGCCCTTCCCTTTTCCTACGGTCAAGAACCCCGAGAAGCCCTTGCAGGCCTGTGACCTCGAGGGTATTAAAACCGTTCATAAATACTCTTGCGAATGCGCCAACGGAGCCCATGACAGTCGCTGAGGCAATGCGCCATGGCAGACTTGGCTGCGCAGGAGGTTCAGAATCTGACATGGTAACGAAGCCTTGATAAGATATCAGATCATCATTGTAAAAACGAGACAATATTGAAAAACGAGTATTCGTTGAATGGGAAAAGACAAGTCTTGGTAGTACCTAGACAAGTGCTTTATACGTACGTACCAAGTGTTTGATCGGAGAGAAGCGGCTCGTAATAGACCCACCTCCAACTTTTTTCCTGTTTGCTTACCCTGTAGAAATGACATGGTGTGCCTACTAACCTGCCTTTTAACTAAGGCATGTCTTGGGGTTGTATTGCAGCTGCCTTACGTTAGAATAAAAATTAAGTTGAGGTCTACCTCAACTTTTATTTCAACATCCATTACTTTAGATTTGTTCTTGTCGTCTGTGGTCTTTCTCAACCCCATTGAACTCATATCTACGAGCTGCAATACGCTGCGACATAGAATACTCCTCTACCAGTTTCTACCAACGACAACAGAGCTCCTCCTGAGCCAGATATTGTCATGGTGTCAGCTCACAGTACGTTTCTCATGATAGAATCATAACGGTTGCCTTACGAATTAATCAATCAATCAGGTAAACGAAACACCTCCCGTCCAGTCTTCACCTCTCACGAACGAGCCCTCGCAAAATCACACTGGTCATCTTCGTCCGCTCGCCTTCACCGCGACTCCTTCCTCCCGTTTGGCTCGTGTGGCCTGTGTCTCAACATTGCCCGCGAACCTGTCTCATGCCGACGCGGCGATATATTCTGCCGCGAATGCGTACTATCGAACATACTCACGCAGAAGAAGGAAATCAAACGCGCCCAGAAGGCGCGCGCCGCTGCTGAGGAAGAGGCCGCTAAGCAAAAAGCGCACGAGGATGAGCTGGATCGCGAGCGCGCCATCCAAGACTTTGAGTTGACGCAGGCTGGTCTCGATCGCAAGAACAAGCCAAACGTAGCCAAGACCGAAGATGAAAGGGTGGATGCGACAATCGGCGATTCGAACTCGCAAGCTTTGGTAATAGGAGGTACGAAGCGTAAGTTTGAACTCGACAAAGATGAACTGGATCGCATTGCGCGCGAAGACAAGGTCAAAGCCAGGAAAGCGCTGGAAGAGGAAAAGGCAAGAATCTCAACCCTACAGCGGTGTAGTATTCTGTGTTAACTTGGCTCCCTATCGTACAGGCTGCGAAACCACATCTCCCATCATTCTGGACTCCATCGCTTACACCAGACGCCCAATCTAGCAAACTCCCGCCAGTTGCGAAGAAAGACAAGACCGTACCAACATGTCCAGCATCTGCATCCGACAGTCCCCACCCTATCACCATGCAAAATCTCATCACAATCAACTTCAACGAAGAGGAAACGTCAAAGGGCAAGCAGAGGACTTGCCCATCATGCTTAAAGATGCTCACAAACGCCTCCAATCCCATGATGTCCAGAGAGTGCGGTCACGTTTTGTGTCACAGTTGCGTTAAACAGTTCATGATCTCATCATCCAAAATGCCATCTTCTGAGGATGTCCAACCCCTGACCTGCTACGTCTGCGACGTACCTCTAACCTCCAAGTCACACAAGACAGATACCGGCCCTGGATCTTTGATACCTGGCTTAATAGCCCTCCAGTCCGAGGGGACAGGCTTTTCAGCTCACGGAGGAAACACCGTGGAGCGATCGAGCGTTGCTTTCCAATGTTGAGACTCTTGCGCTGAACCACATCCCATCACCTCATCCGCAGACTTCGCTGTCGCAAATAGGGCAACAGCATCATTACCCATACACGAACAACAAACCGATGAATTACGCCCTTGGTGAGCATCGTCAATCCGTGACTGAAGAAGCTCTTGAGGAGCTCTCCCTGAAGTCCAGCGTAGAGTGCTTCCATACCCTCGTTGGTAATGATGCGAATAATGACGCCAAATATGGACTGATTGAGAAGATCAAGCATCCTCCGCAGTACATGCTGTCGCTTCGAATTTCCGCTCTGCCGTGCCTCTACATCAGCGTCCGCCGTGCTCAAGGAGCTGCCCGCCATTTGAAGGCGCGTCTTGCCTGTCTGGAAAGGATATGTGATGGCAGTGGCAGTAGCTTTGCTCGAGGCGGCAATCAAAAAGGCGATCCATGCCACTGGAAAGTCCTCTTCTTCGAGGGCTGGCAAGATCCGCGCTGCTAGCCGTCGATTGACAAAGAAGGTGATGCTGGGATTCAGAGTGAGCATCAGGGTAGCCGAGTAGCCAGACCAGAGACCTAGCAATCCGCTTTCCTTTCTAATCTCGGAGAGAATCTCCAGAAGCGACTGATCACTCCCCAACATCTGCTTCCGCGTGACAACATTCGAGATGGGGGTGGTGAGAGCTCTAGCGCACCCTCCAGCGACGGCGCCCACAAGAAGCTCTTCGACAATCTTGGGTTTGCGATGTCGAGGGCGTAGATAGTTGTAGAATCCAAAGAATAGAAAACTGTCCACGACCGACTTGGCCACATCCGTTCCCAGTCCACTGTACAGTGCCTTGATCCCTCCTTCGTTGGCGGGGATGCCTTTGAAAGCTGAAACGACACCATCGTAGTCGCCTGTAGAGCCTCCCGTCTTTCGTTGCGCCTTGAGTCGAGTCGTAACCAGGTCCAATGGGTACAGTGATGCTGTTGATATGGCCGTCCCTACAGAGCCAGATACGGCGTGGCCAAGGGCATTGAGAGCCTGCTGAGACGACATTGTAACAGGATCAAGATACTGAGAATGCTAATCAATGCCGTGAAACGAAGTGATGATAGCTGAAAGGCACGCGCACGTGCATGATGTGAAAGAAGAGTCTCGAGCGAGGCACTATGGATGTTGAGCCGCATGTAAATAAAGTAAGTAGCCCTGTTTGGTATTACAAGACCGTAATAATGAGCGGCGCGCGCTATCGCATTCACGACGTCATAAGCCAACCTCGGCGCGGCCCCATCATCCTCCAGTCGCCGCATGTGACCCATGTTGCGAGGCATGACGGATAGACAGGTACCTTATACTTGTACTTATTAGGTACGGAGTAGACAGGGGAGACTCATAACATTATTGTTTTTCTCATACAAAAGCAAAGCCTTCCAGATCCCGCTGTACAATACTCCTCGTCACAAATAATAATAGTGTTTGGTATCTCCTCCAGGAATGGTCCTTTATACAATCGACATTGATGCACTTCCAGGGAACGTACGTGTGTTGGTTCTGTTTTCAACCCTTTGCCTGTTCTGCAAGACAAGTTTTCATCCTATGCCCTGCTTGAAACTGATGGTTGTCTTTGAGATGTGAATGTCGCTGTCGTCCGCCCAGCATTATTGAAACACGCAGTAATGTCTATTTCTCCCGGAGCGTCTTCTGAAGCGGGTTGTAGCCCAGGATGGCCCTCGGGAAGCTTCTGTGCTCCAAAACCGGTGACCGAAAATATATTTGTCCTCCCACCATTGGTGGCCATTTGAAGCTGTTCGTGTAATCTTGCGAGCTGGTATTGTCGTTTTATGGGAGTGAAAGTAGGTTGTGGTATTAAGGGTTGAGGACGCCATTGTGATAGAGCACCCATCACCGCCGTTGTTTCTTCGTCGGAATCGACTGGTCCATTATTTGCTTCGTCTTCATCTTCTATCGGCGCGTTGGCATCAAGCGCTGCCTCTGTTGGAGTCAATTGTTAGTCGTGTCCAGGCAGTGGGTGGACTAGACCAAGACTTACTCTGCTGCTTCGCTTGATTCTTCTTCTGGTACGCGGCAAGAAGCATATCGTATGGCAAAGATCTTCCTGCGACTGCGCGCTTCGCTCCCATACTGTGGCTCTTACATGTCAATGATCTTGCACATGGCTGTCCATTGGGTAACAAGACACCACACTGCCGTTCCACGTCCACAGGTCCTAGCATCAGTTTTAGTGCAAGCCCCTCAAGAGACCTGTGAACAGTATCTCACCTTTTGGCTTAGGGACCTTGGCTTTTGGCTCATCCTTCTTCTTCTTATTCTTGGGTCCTTTGTCTGGATCACCATCGGCCTTACGTTTCTTTCCCTTCTTATCGTCCTCGGGTTTCTTGCCCGCGGCCTTTTTGGCAGTCTTGCTTCCAGTTGCTTTCTTTTCAGCCGAGATTCCGTCGTCGTCACTGTCGTCGTCGCCCCGCTCAACCCCATTCTCTTCGTCCTCTTTCCGTTGTTCTTCTTGTCTTGCTGCCTCCTTTGCTCTCTCTCTTGCTTCGCGAGCCTCTTTCTTTCTTTGGGCCTTCTCTTTCTTTAACCGCAAGCATTGCGCAATATGCGCCTTGGCGGCTGTTTTCAAAACGCTCTTCTTACAGTGCTTGCATTGTTGCAGGTCGGGGCTATCTTCGAGGGGTCGTCCTGTCGCAAAGGTTTCGCGGGAAGTTTCGTCGAGTTCGTTTACAACAGGACCTGGTGAGGGCGCACCCACAGGCAAGGCGCCATTCTTCTTCTTGTCTTGGAAACATTAGCGGCTTCGCCAAGTTTGTATAGGATGACCTCATTACATACTGTTACTCTCAATTACACTACCATCCATCCAGTTTCCAGGTTTGCTGTGTTTTGGCGCTGGCTTCTTCAGCTTGATCTTTCCGTTCTTGTTCTTGGATGCGACTTTGATCGTGCCGTCATCGCCTGCAAGCTGGGTGTTAGTCTAACGCAGTCGCGCATGATTAAAGTCGCGTTACCTTTTCGGGCATCCGTACCCATGATGATTGAAGTCGGCGGCTGATGTAGTTGCTGTTGTAGTGAGACAGCCTCCTTCGTATCGATGATGAACTTTGCTTTGATGAATCGCGGATAGTCTGGCTTCGAAAGAGATGTCGTTGTGATAAGGCTGGGCTGGGCTGGCCAGGTAGGTATGGATGTTATGGTGGAGTTGAAGGTGTGGCTGCCTTCCATTAATGATACACGTGCCTGAGCCAGGGGTCGGCCCACGCCTACACTATTTCTCCGGGGAGAGTTCCCCCACTGACATCTGCGGGGGACCTAGGCAGGTCCGATGAATGGAAAGGCACCGATGATAACCAGGTTTTTGAATTCATCAATTTTAGAGACTACTGAAATGATCAAGGACTGTTCAATAGTCCCAAATTGCTACTTAGCGCTAGTATGATGCCTCGACAAAGAGTTAGGGCATCTGTTTCTGAAGCCATCCAACTACCTAATGGGCCAGTGAGTGTGCTAATGGTTTTGAATAGTATGACTATCATGTCTGAGCCATGGCCATTCCCATTAAGCTCTGAAAATACTATAGACAAATAAAGATTTTATCAACCTAAGTTGTGTAATATAAAGGCCTCAGGTGCGAGCAGCAACATTGAGGCAGAGAAGCTATCATGTCTACCAAAAGCGGAAGTGGCCATGCTATGCACCGAATATTCGTTAACCATAACCTCCCGTGAACCTAAAAGCCCACATGCAATACCCAAACCAGCCAACTCCGGGTGAAGAACGACGCTCGATGTCAGCTTTTCTACCCCTAAGTACCCGAAGGAAGAAATTCGATGCCAATGCAGCCCACAAAGCCATTAAACACCGAACAAGATGTATCCACACTGTCTCAGACATTCCAGGATTATGTTCATAATCATACCGATGTCTGGGCGAGTTATCATCACCGCACACTGCTTTCGACCACTTCCTTCTTTATCTTCAATGAGTCACGATATGCCTTCATGGTATCCATCATGCACTTGGCATGAAGAATACCCATATCACTCCATATACACTCCATCACTGCCACAACCCATTCCCAGTATGCTTCTGGGACACCAGGAGCACAGGCAGCAACTTGAAGGTGAAACAGAACAACGGGAAGTCCAGCAGAGCCAGAGCCCGCCCCTCCAGGTCTCTCGACTGGTACGGCAGCCTTTTCGGTGAGAAGCGGGTGTCGCCAATGTGTTGGGGTGCTCACGAGAGTGTCGCGGGCGAGTTTTCTAACAACCTCGTATCGATGTCCATATTCAGCCAACGAGATCAACGGCGCGCTAGATTTGGGGTACGCCTTGATGAATTCGATGATTGTCTGGTTCAAGAGAGTTCGCGCCCATCGGTAGTGTCCATACATCCGTGCAACAAACATGTCGAAATAGACATGACACGCGCCATCGAATACTGCAGCTGCAGGTAGGTGTTCCGCTTTCTCTTCGCGAAATCGCCAAGTATGTCCAAGGTTTCGTTCCCAACTAAGGAATGACTCGTCGATATCTAATAATTGCTTCAAGGTGGACACTGTGATAGAACGACCGTCGACCAGAGCATGAGTTTTTATGTATGTTGAGGTTTGAATGAATCGCCCAATCAATGGGCCGAGATCGGTAGCAGGATGATCGGCTGGGTCGAGGAGGGTTCTTGCAAATGAAATCCATTCGAATAGGGGCTCCGGCAGAGGTGTTGCGGACATGTGAGCAGGGATAAACTGAGCAATTATGTGAGTGAATTGGGACAATGCGCTTAGAAACCATGACATACAAGAGAATAAGACATCTGTACCATGGCACGAACCCCGAGGAAAGCGGCCGCTGGCATAGGTAGCCATCGTCGCAACAGAGCAAGCCCACCCATAACGTGCGCATGAACGTGCCCTAGTCCTTGATAGGCTCCCTTGACAAGCTGGAGACGGGTATTAGCAAATTAAAAGCCAAGATTGGACAGGAGAAGGGTAGATCGGGGAGATGGGGCTGACCATGCGGGTGTGTTGGCTAGCATTAGGGGTTGGGGCACAAACCTCGAACATGGCAAGCATGACGACGGAGCGCATCGTGACCTCGAAATCCGGCATGCTCGAGGTCTGTACGAGGCGACCAGTCTGGCGCAGAGCCAACCCATATCGTTGACGGGCTATCGTCATCATGCTGGGATCGTCTTTGAGATTGGAAAGGCTAGCGAGGCCAACCGCGGCCATTACATCTTGGACAGCGGGATCCCATAGCCATTCCGTGTGTGACAAATCGCTGGGGGACCTGGGCTCATCTGGATGGCCTATCAGGTAACGGTTGACATAGAACTGAACCCCCTGTTCCTCGAGACTTGGATCGATTGGCGGCGAAAGCCTTGGTGGCCGTATAACGATACGCTGTGCCGTGAAAGTATTTGAGGTCGTATGATTTAAAGACGAAGCGGGAGATTGAGGAGTTGGCGATGGTGTTTGCTGGCTCACAGTTGAATCAGGAGATGTCGGCCAGCCATCTTTGAACGGTTTATAGGAGGATGCTATCGCTGCGGGACCAGGATAGTTGTGTAGAGATGTTATAGAGGAAGAACCAGAAATGGAAGAGGCTTGTGTAGAGCTGTTGGACGAGTAAGAAGAAGCCAGAGAGCTGGAGGATGTTTGTGTTGATAGGGCCTCAGAGGATTCGCCAACACCCCACTGCGCATGTGCTTTTTGTATCACCTTGCTGCTCTCGTCCCGAAACATAAGGGAGAGCTGATCACGATAACCGGGGCACTTTTTCCCAACCCGAATACATTGTGAGCATTCCGGTTTGATTTTGTCACACTGTTGAGGAGAATTGCCAATTAGTCAAAGCCCATGAACTACTGTATGTACAGAGAATTGTAAGTCATGGATGACACCAGCGGATTAACTCACTTTGATACGTCGCACGCGACAATTCTGACAGCCCTGAGAGGCTTTCCCGCAGTAAACCATGGTCTCTGAAAGTTTTTGGATCACTACGGTGTCTTGCCGAGAATTGGACACCGTCGATAATCAGTAG